CAGGTGATCCACCCACATCGGCCTCCCAAAGTGCTGAGATTACAGGTGTGAGCCACCGCACCTGGCCTTTGGTTTCCTTTTTGATTAGTCCTGAATGTAAATTGTCAGTGTGGATAAAGTAGTTTATAGAGAGATGCTTGACTGGACACGGTGACTCAAACCTGTAATCCCAGCACTTTGGGAGGCCAAGGTGGGTGGATCACTTGAGGTCAGACCAACCTGGCCAACATTGTGAAACCCTGTCTCTACTGAAAATACAAAAATTAGCTGGGCGTGGTGGCTCTCGCCTGTAATCCCATCTACTAGGGAGGCTGAGGCAGGAAGATTGCTTGAACCTGGAAGGTGAGGTTGCAGTGAGCCGAGATCATGCCACTGCACTCAAGCCTGGGTGGCAGAGTGAGATTCCATCTCAGAAATAAATAAAGACAATAAAATAAAGAGAGATGCTCTACTAAATGGCGAAAAAAAAATGTCTCAATTAATTCCATCTCTTCTCTTTACCAGCACCAAACTACAGCAGGTATAAATGTAGTAATGGGATGTATGGTACCTCGTTTTTAGTTGAAATTGATTGTTTGTTCTCAGATTCACCATAGAGAACAGTCCGTATTATTGTTTGTTTCAGTGTTTTGCTTTAGTCCTTTTAATGGCAACAGGCTGGGAAAGGAGCCCCAATACTACTTGCTAAAATATAAATAATGTAGCCCAGTGTGTATTCTGTAGTGGGATATTCAAGGGAAAGAAATTAGAATAATGTAATGCTGAGAGGTAAGTATATTTAAAGAAAAGGTAAAAATAGAACTTTGTGTGCTAACTTATTTAGAAGGAAAAAGAGTCGGACAGGATGAGAGCTTTTGAGAGATGAGAAGACAGTATTTAGCGAAAATGCTAGCAGAATGATCAGAAGACTAAGAAAACATGAAAAGAAAAGGAAGCAGTGGGAAGCCATGTGGAAAAGGTCAGGGGAACGTTGGTAAGCAGCATGCAGAGAAAGGTGAAAACTCGAAGTTGAAATTTCAGGTTGAAGGCATTAGAATGAGATGAAATCAGAGAAGTAGTTCAGTCACCAAAGCCAAGCCTAACGTTTCCATACCCTGAGGTGAACACAGCACAGCTCTAAGAGCCCACTAGTAATTTTCTGCAGAAAAAGTCAAAAGAAAAGATACCTAGCTAAGGGGAGACCAAGTTCCTTAATTTTGTATTTGTTGTTTTATTGTTAGAAAGTCATTTTTGTCTTTAAGATCACCACACAGCATTTTCAAAGGCCTTTGTCTTTTTAAAGAAAAATAGCATATGCATTCAAAGTATTATTAGTTATCTGGGATTAATTCTGGACAAATGTTTCTAAGAAAGATGAACATAAGGAAATAGAAAGAGATGGTAGACACAAAACGAAGCAATAGGAAAACCTTGAAAGGAAGGGAAAGGGTGGCTGCTGTGATGAGTAAGAAAATTACCAGTGAGAAGCAGAGACAGAGCAAAAAAAAAAAGATGTCTAAGCTCTGAGGAAGGGAAATCACTGATGAGAATGTTCCCCACCCCTCAACACACACACACACACGCACGCACGCACGCGCGGATTCATGGAGGCTCATTCTGTCGCCCAGGCTGCTGGAATGCAGTGGCCGGATCTTGGCTTACTGCAACCTCTACCTCCAGGGTTCAGCCTCCTGAGTAGCTGGGGTTACAGGAGTGTGTCACGACACCTGGCTAATTTTTGTATTTTTAGTAAAGATGGAGTTTCACCATGTTGGCCAGGCTGGTCTCAAACTTCTGACCTCAGGTGATCTGCCTGCCTTGGCCTCCCAAAGTGCTGAGATGACAGGTATGAGCCACTGCCAGTATATATGGATATCCATTCTTTTATATCTCTCTCCACTTCAAAAAAATTATTCTTTTATGTCTTTCGCCACTGAAAGAATAATCTGAGTCAGATATCAGCAAACTTGTCCTGAAAAGTAGTAAATATTCTAGGTCCTGAGGTCTAAATTATCTTCGAGACAAGGATTCAATTCTTCCAGTGTTCAGTGAAAGCAGCCATGGACAATATATACATGAATGAGAGTAGCTGTGTTTCAATCAAACTTTATTGACAAAAACAGATGCAGGCCTATGGTTATGTCTGTTGACCCCTGATCTAAGGGCTCTAATCCTCTCATTTCCAGATGAAAATATGAGGTCCAGAGTATTTCAGCAAGCTGTCCAGAGCGTCACATCTCAGTAGTGGGAAGTACAAGTTGGAGAATAAGATGTGTTTAGTTATGCATTCTGAACTTGGAGAGATCCAGATCTTTTTAAGCAAAATAACACGAACTGAAATTTGTACTCTGCTCTCAGACACCTTTTGAATGCTTCACTCTAGATAATCAAGGTTTCTGAGTATCTTAGGGGGCTTATTCACAAAGCAACCAAGCCATCCACATTAATAATTTTGGATGAGTCATCTTTCTAAGATCTATTACATATGGTCATGACTTTTATTTTTAGCATTTATTTAATAGCATTTATTTTATTTTTCCATAAGTTATTGGGGCACAGGTGGTATTTGGTTACATAAATTCTTTAGTGGTGATATGTAAGATTTTGGTGCACCCATCACCCGAATAGTACATACTGCACCATGTTTATAGTCTTTTATCCCTCGCTCCCCTCCCACTCTTCCCCCCCAAGTACCCAAGGTCAATTGTATCATTCTTACACCTTTGCATCCTCATAGTTTAGCTCCCATATATCATTGCAAACATGTGATGTTTGGTTTTCCATTCCTGAATTACTTCACTTAGAATAATAGTCTCCATTCTCATCCAGGTCAATGCAAATGCTGTTAGTTCATTCCTTTTTATGGCTGAATATCATTCCTTTTTGTGTGTGTGTGTGTTTGTGTGTGTGTGTGTGTGTGTGTGTGTGTGTGTGTGTGTCACATTCCTTATCCACTCATTGATTGATGGGCATTTGGGTTGGTTCCACGATTTTGCAATTGTGGATTGTGCTGCTATACACATGTGTGTGAAAGTATCTTTCTCGAATAGTGACTACCCTTTCTCTTGGTAGATACCCAATAGTGAGACTGCTGGATCAAGTGGTAGTTTAAGGAATCTCCACACTGTTTTCCATAGTGGATGTACTAGTTTACATTCCCACCAGCTGTGTAAAATTGTTCCCTGTTCACAGCATCTATGCCAACATCTACTGTTTTTGATTTTTTGATTATGGTCATTCTTTCAGGAGTAAGGTGGTATCGCATTGTGGTTTTAATTTGCATTTCACTGATTGTTACTGATGTTGAGCATTTTTTCATATGTTTGTTGGCCATTCGTATATCTTCTTTTGAGAATTGTTTATTCATGCCTATTCATAGCCCACTTTTTGATGGGATCGTTTGTTTTTTTCTTGATTTGAGTTTGTTGTAGATTCTAGATATTAGTCCTTTGTCAGATATATAGACTATGAAGATTTTCTCCCACTCTGTGGGTTGTCTGTTTACTCTGCTGACTGTTCCTTTTGCCATGCAAATACTCTTTCATTAGGTCTCAGCTATTTATCTTTGTTTTTATTGCATTTGCTTTTGGGTTCTTGGTCATGAAACCCTTGCCTAACCCAATGCCCAGAAGGGTTTTTCCAGTGTTATCTTCTAGAATTTTTAGTTTCAAGTCTTAGGTTTAAGTCCTTAATCCATCTTGAGTTGATTTTTGTATAAGGTGAGAGATGAGGATCCAGCTTCTTTCTCCTATAGGTGGGTAGCCAATTATCCCACCACCATTTGTTGAAAAGGGTGTCTTTTCTCCACTTTATGTTTTTGTTTGCTTTGTCAAAAATCAGTAGCTGCAAGTATTTGGGTTTATTTCTGGGTTCTCTATTCTGTTTCATTGGTCTATGTGCCTATTTTTTATACCAGTACTATGCTGTTTTGGTGACTATGGCGTTACAGTGTTGTTTGAAATCAGATAGTGTTATGACTCCAGATTTGTTCTTTTGCTTAGTCTTGCTTTGATTATGTGGGATCTTTTTTGATTCCATATGAATTTCATAATTGTTTTTTCTAATTCTGTGAAGAATGATAGTGGTATTTTGATGGAGATTGTGTTGAATTTGTAGATTGCTTTTGGCAGTATGGCCATTTTTACAGTATTGATTCTACCCATCCATGAGCATGGGATGTGCTTCCATTTGTTTATAATGTCTGTGATTTCCTTCAGCAGTGTTTCATAGTTTTCCTTGTAGATGTCTTTCAACTCTTTCGTTAGATATAGTCTTATTTTATTTATTTATTTATTTATTTTTACAGCTGTTGTAAAAGGGGTTGAGTTCTTGATTTGATTCTCTGCTTGGTTGCTGTTGATGTATAGAAGAGCTACTAATTTGTGTACATCAATCTTGTATCCAGAAACTTTGCTGAATTCTCTTATCAGTTCTAGGAGCTTTCTGGAGGAGTCCTTAGGGTTTTCGAGGTAAATGATCATATCGTCATCAAACAGTGATAGTTTGACTTCCTCTTTACCAATTTGGATGCCCTTTATTTCTTTCTCTTGTCTGTTCTGGCTAGGACTTCCAGTACTATGTTGAAGAGGAGTGGTAAGAGTGGGCATCCTTGTCTTGTTCCAGTTCTCAGAGGGAATGCTTTCAACTTTTCCCCATTCAGTATTATATTGGCTGTAGGTTTGTCATAGATGGCTTTTATTACATTAAGGTATGTCTCTTGTATGTGGATTTTTCTGAGAGTTTTAATCATAAAGGGATGTTGGATTTTGTTGAATTCCTTTTCTGCATCTATTGAGATGATCATGTGATTTTTGTTTTTAATTCTGTTTATGTGTGTATCATATTTATTGACTTGTGTATGTTAAACCATCCTTGCATCTCTGGTTTGAAATCCAGTTGATCATGATGGATTATCTTTTTGATATGTTGTTGGATTTGGTTAGCTAGTATTTTGTTAAGGATTTTAGCATCTATGTTCATCAATGATATTGGTCTGTAGTTTTCTTTTTTTGGTTATATCCATTCCTGATTTTGGTATTAGGGTGATGCTACATAGAATCAATTAGGGAGGTTTCCTTCTTTCTCTATCTTGTGGAACAGTGTCAAAAGGATTGGTACCAATTCTTCTTTGAATGTTATTCTTCTTTGAATGCTGTGAATCCATGTGGTCCTAGACTTTTTTTTTGTTGGTAATTGTTTTCTTCTTTTTGAGACAGAGTCTCGCTCTGCCGCTCAGGCTGGAGTGCAATGGTGCAATCTCAGCTCACTGCAACCTCCACCTCCTGGGTTCAAGCAATTCTCATGTCTCAGCCTCCCAAGTAGCTGGAATTACAGTCATGCGCCACCATGCCCAGCTAATTTTGTGTTTTTAGTAGAGATGGAATTTCTCCATGTTGGTCAGGCTGGTCTTGAACTCCCAACCTCAGGTGATCCACCCACCTCGGCCTCCCAAAATCCTGGGATTATAGGTGTAAGCCACTGTGCCTGGCCTGTTTTTTCTTTAAGTTATCTATTTCCTTGAATATTTCTCCCTTTACTTCTTGTATCATTTTTTGGATTTCCTTGCATTAGGCTTCACTTTTCTCTGGTCCCTCCATGATTAGCTTAATAACTAACCTCCTGAATTCCTTTTCAGGTAAATCAGGGATTTTTTTCTTGGTTTGGACCTATTGCTAGTGAACTACTGATTTTTTGGGGTGTGTTGAAGAGCCTTGTTTTATCATATTGTAACCAAGTTTTTTGGGGGTGTTGGTGAGGCACAGCTCCTCCAAGAGAATGTTGTAGGTTCTTGGTCTCCGCCCTCTTAAGGATAGGAGAAGGGACCACGGCAGGTGTGCGGTATGCTCTTAAAAGTAAATATCGGACCTAAGAAGTGTAGCAGAAAGGTGATTTTATTTAGGTCAAGAAAAGAGAAGAAAACGATAAGAAGAGAAAGACATCCATGAAGAGTGTGGAAGGGGATTTCAGAGGTGAAATCCAAGAGGGTAAAGAGAGCTCCCACTATGTGGGAGGGGATCCCAGAGAGCTGGAAACCCAGTGTGGGTGAAGGAGCAGGGGAATTTATGCTGGGAGAAATTCCCACCTTCCCAAGTTCCTCTGGCCAATGAAAGGAGTTCCTTTAAACTTCCACTGGGGTGATTGACTTTTAGTTTCTTCCCGTGCCTGCGAAATTCAAACATAAACTGTTAAATGTCCCAGATGGAAAGAGATGGGAGGGGGCAAGGCGCTGGGAAATTCTTGCCCTTAAAACTACACCCCCTTGTGGACCTGGTAAGAGAATACATTCTCTCAATATTACCAAGGTTGGTTTTCTGGTTCCTTCTCATTTTGGTAGGTTCTATCATGGGAAGATCTAGGGCTGAAGGCTGTTGTTCAAAACACCATGGGGTGTTCCCTTGATGTAGTACGGTCCCCCTTTTCCTACAGATGTGGCTTCCTGTGAGCCAAACTGCAGTGATTGTTGTCTCTCTTCTGGGTGTAGCCACCCAGTGAGTCTACCTGGCTCTGGGCTGGTACTGAGGGTTTTCCGCACAGAGTCCTGTGATGTGAACCATCTATGGGTCTCTCAGCTGTGGATGCCAGTTCCTGTCCTATTGGAGGTGGTGGAGCGTGCAATGGACTCTGTAAGGGTCCTTAGCTTTGGTGGTTTAATGCTCTGTTTTTATGCTGGTTAACCTCTTGCCAGGAGGTGGTACTTTCCAGAAAATATCAGCTATAGTAGTGTGGAGAGGGACCAGTGGTAGATGGGGCCCTAGAACTCTCAAGATTATATGCCCTGTCTTCCACTACCAGCATGAATAGGGAAGGACCATAACATAGGAGCAGGGCTAGTCTGAGCTCAGACTCTCCTTGGGCGGGTCTTGCTGTGGTTGCTGTGGGGGATGGAGGTGAGATTCCCAGGTCACTGGAATTGTGTACCTAGGAGTATGACTGCCTCTGCTGAGTCATGCAGGTTATCGGGGAAGTGGGGGAAAGCCAGTATTCATAGGCCTCATCCAGCTCCCATGCAAACTGAAGGGCCACTCTCACTCCCACTGTGTCCCCCCACAGCAGCCCCAAGTCTGTTTCCAGGTGGAAGGCAAGATGGTCTAGAAAACTTGCCTGAGGGTATCCGCCTCCTAGCTGTGAAAGAAAAGGGCTTTAGTTCTTCCCCTGCCTGTGAAGTCTGCTCACCAGATTCACGCCCTCCCCAAGTTCCGGCAGGGAGGGTTCTCACCCTGTTAAAATTGTTACAAAGTTTGGCTAGCAAATTCCTTCTCCCTGTGCTCTTCTGGCCACCCTCCCAATGGATCCCTGTGATGCCAGGCAGGAATGGGCTGGCTGGGGACCCAGCAAGCTCCCAGGGCCTTTCTGCTGCTTCCACTACCCCTGTATTTCACTTGGCTCTCTAATTTGACTCAGCTCCAGGTAAAGTCAGCAACTTCTCCCGCAAAGAGAAATTCGGCTTCTCCAGTGGGAATGTGTGTTCGGGAAAGAAGGGTCTCCCTTTTCCATTTCTTCAGTTGGGGTACTCACAGTATTTGGGGTGTCTCCCAGGTCCTACAGGAGCAGTCTACTTCCTTCAGAGGGTTGTGGGTCCTCTCAGGATTGCTGGTTTATTCTTCCAGTTGATCTGGAGCTAAAATTCACAGTGCGATCCTCTGCACACTGCTCTGTCCGGAGCTGCAATCTAGTCGTATCCCCCATCGCCATATCCCAGAAGCCAATACTGGTCATGCCTTTCAAGCAGCATATAATTTAACTTTTGTGAAAAAGAAGATTCAAGTTCATCATTTAAATTAATATTTGAGCTGTTTGAGTTAAGAAGCCCATTAGAGATCATCTAACCAAGGGCCTTCAGGTACTACTAGTACTCAGAGTCCTGCTTAGCTTATATAGGTTTCTATTCACCTATTCAAGAGTGTCTGCCTCTTCTCAGCTGTCAGGTCATCAGCCATTCTTATGGCCATCAGAGCGCCTGAGTCCAGCAGCACCTCACCCCCCACCCCAGGCAATAGCTAAAATGATCCGATGATGAAACTTGTCATAATTGGGGCTCCTATGAAATTTTCTATTCCTGTATTTCCTCTTCTTGGATAGCTGCAACCTCTGAAGATCTTTTCCTGGCTGTTAAGAAATCAGAAGCCCCATTCCTGGTTTTAGTATTACTGCCTTAAATCTGATATTGGGTTCTTAGGTTCCTAGCCATGTGAATGCCCCAGGAACTACTGCTTCTCCAAAGCTCCTGCCACACTTACCTGGGCTCTATCCCTACGTGTTTGCTGCAGTTCCTGTTTCACTCTGCTCTTCTTTGTTGGGATTGAGGATTGCGATGCATTTTTGCTCTCTTGTCCCAGGTTTACCTGCTTCACTTTTGCTATCCTTTTCTGTTTCTTATTTCTTACCTTTCTTCATCATCCCCTGTAACCACCTACTCCCTGGAAATACTGAGGAAGAAAGTCATGAGACCAGGACCCTTCCATTGCCTTGACTCAGAGTCTGGGCACTGTATGTGTCCTCAGGACTTATTTGATATTTGAAACAGACATTAGTCACAACTTTCTCTGGGAAAGTCTTTATCTCACCTTCATTTCTGAAGGATGTTTTGAAGATTATAGTATTCTTGGTTGGCGGTTTCTTTTTTTTTCAGAACTCAGAATATATCATCCCAATCTCTCCTGGCCTGTTCTGAGAAGTCTGCTGTCAGGTATATTGAATCTCCCTTGTATGTTATTTGCTATTTTTCTGTCAATGCTTTCAGGATCCTTTGTCTTTGACCTTTGAGAGTTTGATTATAATGAATCTTCCTGGGGTATTCTTAGTTGGGTTGAATATGATTGGTGACCTTTGACCTTCCTGTACCTAGATATTTATATTTTTCTCCTTGTTTGAAAAGTTATGTTACTTTTTCTTTGAATAACCTTTCTACTTCTTTATCTTTCTTAGTTCCCTATTTAACTTCAATAACCTGGATATTTGTCTTTTGATGTTATCACATAGATCACATAAGCTTTTCTCATTCCTTTTTATTCTTTTTTCTTTTTTTCCCTCTGACTGTATTCTTTTTTTTTCTTTTTTCTTTTTTTTTCCCATTTATTTATTTTATTGCATTTTAGGTTTTGGGGTACATGTGAAGAACTGCAAAATTGTTGCATAGGTACACACGTGGCAGTGTGATTTGCTGCCTTCCTCCCCATCACCTACATCTGGCATTTCTCCCCCTGCTATCCCTCCCCAGCTCCCCACCCCCCACCATCCCTCCCCTATTTCCCCCCAACTGACCCCAGTGTGTAGTGCTCCCCTCCCTGTGTCCATGTGTTCTCATTGTTCAACAATCGCCTATGAGTGAGAATATGCGGTGTTTGATCTTCTGCTCTTCTGTCAGTTTGCTGAGAATGATGGTTTCCAGGTTCATCCATGTCCCTCCAAAGGACCCAAAATCATCGTTTTTGATGGCTGCATAATATTCCACGGTGTATATGTGCCACATTTTCCCTATCCAGTCTATCGTCGATGGGCATTTGGGTTGATTCCAGGTCTTTTCTATTGTAAACAGTGCTGCAATGAACATTCGTGTGCACGTGTCCTTGTAGTAGAACGATCTGTAATCCTCTGGATGTATACCCAGTAATGGGATTGCTGGGTCAAATGGAATTTCTATTTCTCGGTCCTTGAGAAATCGCCACACTGTCTTCCACAATGGTTGAACTAATTTACACTCCCACCAACAGTGCAGTAATGTTCCTATTTCTCCACATCCTCTCCAGCATCTGTTGTCTCCAGGTTTTTTAATGATCGCCATTCTAACTGGCGTGAGATGGTATCTCACTGTTGTTTTGATTTGCATTTCTCTGATGACCAGCGATGATGAGCATTTTTTCATATGTTTGTTGGCCTCATGTATGTCTTCTTTTGTAAAGTGTCTGTTCATATCCTTTGCCCACTTTTGAATGGGCTTGTTTGGTTTTTTCTTGTAAATCTGTTTTAGTTCTTTGTAAATTCTGGATATCAGCCCTTTGTCAGATGGGTAAACTGCAAAAAGTTTTTCCCATTCTGTTGGTTGCCGATTCACTCTAATGACTGTTTCTTTTGCTGTGCAGAAGCTGTGGAGTTTGATTAGGTCCCATTTGTCTATTTTGGCTTTTGTTGTCAATGCTTTTGGTGTTTTGGTCATGAGGTCCTTGCCTACACCTACGTCCTGAATGGTTTTGCCTAGATTTTCTTCTAGGGTTTTTATGGTGTTAGGTCTTATGTTTAAGTCTTTAATCCATCTGGAGTTAATTTTAGTGTAAGGTGTCAGGAAGGGGTCCAGTTTCTGCTTTCTGCACATGGCTAGCCAGATTTCCCAACACCATTTATTGAACAGGGAATCCTTTCCCCATTGCTTGTTTTTGTCTGGTTTGTCAAAGATCAGATGGCTGTAGATATGTTGTGTTGCCTCCGAGACCTCTGTTGTGTTCCATTGGTCTATATCTCTGTTTTGGTACCAGCCCCATGCTGTTTTGATTACTGTAGCCTTGTAGTATAGTTTGAAGTCCGGTAGTGTGATGCCTCCCCCTTTGTTCTTTTGGCTTAGAATTGACTTGGCTATGCGGGCTCTCCTTTGGTTCCATATGAAGTTTAAGGTGGTTTTTTCCAGTTCTGTGAAGAAGGTCATTGGTAGCTTGATGGGGATAGCATTGAATCTGTAAATGACTTTGGGCAGTATGGCCATTTTCATGATATTGATTCTTCCTAACCATGAACATGGAATGTTTCTCCATCTGTTTGTGTCCTCTTTTATTTCGTTGAGCAGTGGCTTGTAGTTCTCCTTGAAGAGGTCCTTTACAGTCCTTGTTAGTTGTATTCCTAGGTATTTTATTCTCTTTGTGGCAATTGTGACTGGAAGTTTGTTCTTGATTTGGCTCTCTTTAAGTCTGTTATTGGTGTATAGGAATGCACGTGATTTTTGCACATTGATTTTGTATCCTGAGACTTTGCTGAACTTGCTTATCAGTTTCAGGAGATTTGGGGCTGAGACGATGGGGTCTTCTAGATATACAATCATGTCGTCTGCAAATAGAGACAATTTGACTTCCTCCTTTCCTATTTGAATGCCCTTTATTTCTTTTTCTTGCCTGATTGCTATTGCTAGAACTTCTAGTACTATATTGAATAGGAGTGGTGAGAGAGGGCATCCTTGTCTGGTGCCACATTTCAAGGGGAATGCTTCCAGTTTTTGCCCATTCAGTATGATATTGGCTGTTGGTTTGTCATAAATAGCTTTTATTATTTTGAGATATGTTCCGTCAATACCTAGCTTATTGAGGGTTTTTAGCATAAAGGGCTGTTGAATTTTGTCAAAGGCCTTCTCTGCATCAATTGAGATAATCATGTGGTTTTTGTCTTTGGTTCTGTTTATGTGGTGAATTACATTTATAGACTTGCGTATGTTGAACCAGCCTTGCATCCCCGGGATGAAGCCTGCTTGATCATGGTGGATAAGCTTTTTGATGTGCTGTTGCAGCCGGCTTGTCAGTATTCTACTGAAGATTTTTGCATCTATGTTCATCATGGATATTGGCCTGAAGTTTTCTTTTCTTGTTGAGTCTCTGCCGGGTTTTGGAATCAGGATGATGTTGGTCTCATAAAATGATTTGGGAAGAATTCCCTCTTTTTGTATTGTTTGGAATAGCTTCAGAAGGAATGGTCCCAGCTCCTCTTTGTATGTCTGGTAGAATTCGGCTGTGAACCCGTCTGGTCCTGGGCTTTTTTTGGGTGGTAAGCTCTTAATTGCTGCCTCAACTTCACACCTTGTTATGGGTCTGTTCAGGGTTTCGGCTTCTTCCTGTTTTAGGCTTGGGAGGAGGCAAGTGTCCAGGAATTTATCCATTTCTTCCAGGTTTATTAGTTTGTGTGCATAGAGTTGTTTGTAATAATCTCTGATGATGGTTTGAATTTCTGTGGCATCTGTGGTGATATCCCCTTTATCGTTTTTTATTACATCAATTTGGTTATTCTCTCTTTTCTTTTTTATTAATCTGGCTAGTGGTCTGTCTATTTTGTTGATCTTTTCAAAAAACCAGCTCCTGGATTTATTGATTTTTTGAAGGGTTTTTTGTGTCTCTATCTCCTTCAGTTCTGCTCTGATCTTAGCTATTTCTTGTCTTCTGGTAGACTTTGAGTTTTTTTGATCTTGCTCCTCTAGCTCTTTCAGTTTATCTCTCCTTGCTTCTCATGTGGGCACTTATTGCTATATATTTTCCTCTAGAGACTGCTTTAAATGTGTCCCAGAGATTCTGGTATGTTGTGTCTTCATTCTCGTTGGTTTCAAAGAACATCTTTATTTCTGTCTTCATTTCATTGTTTATCCAGTCAATATTCAAGAGCAAGTTGTTCGGTTTCCCTGAAGCTGTGCGGTTCTGGGTTAGTTTTTGAATTCTGAGTTCTAACTTGATTGCACTGTGGTCTGAGAGACTGTTTGTTATGATTTCCGTTCTTTTACATTTGCTGAGGAGTGATTTACTCCCATTATGTGGTCAATTTTAGAGTAGGTGTGATGTGGTGCTGAGAAGAATGTATATTCTGTGGATTTGGGGTGGAGAGTTCTGTAAATGTCTATTAGGTTTGCTTGGTCCAGGTCTGAGTTCAAGTCCTGGATATCCTTGTTAATTTTCTGTCTGGTTGATCTGTCTAATATTGACAATGGGATGTTAAAGTCTCTCACTATTATTGTGTGGGAGTCTAAGTCTCTTTGTAAGTCATTAAGAACTTGCCTTATGTATCTGGGTGCTCCTGTATTGGGTGCATATATATTTAGGATCATTAACTCTTCTTGTTGCATTGAACCTTTTACCATTATGTAATGTCCTTCTTTGTCTCTTTTGATCTTTGTTGCTTTAAAATCTAATTTATCAAAGATGAGAACTGCAACTCCTGCTTTTTTTTGCTCTCCATTTGCTTGGTAAATCTTCCTCCATCCCTTTATTTTGAGCCTTTGTGTATCCTTGCATGTGAGATGGGTTACCTGGATACAGCACACCGATGGGTTTTGGCTTTTTGTCCAATTTGCCAGTCTGTGTCTTTTGATTGGGGCATTTAGTCCATTTACATCTATGGTTAATATTGTTATGTGTGAATTTGATACTGGCTGTTTTGCCCATTAGTTGACGCAGATTCTTCATTGTGTTGATTCTCTTTACCATTTCGCATGTTTTTTGGAGTGGCTGCTACTGGTTGTTCCTTTATATGTGTAGAGCCTCTTTCAGGAGCTCTTGTAAAGCAGGCCTGGTGGTGACGAAATCTCTGAGTACTTGCATGTTCCCAAAGGATTTTATTTTTCCTTCACTTATGAAGCTTAGTTTGGCTGGATAGGAGATTCTGGGTTGAAAGTTCTTTTCTTTAACGATGTTGAATATTGTCCCCCACTCTCTTCTGGCTTGTAGGGTTTCTGCTGAGAGATCTGCTGTGAGTCTGATGGGCTTCCCTTTGTGGGTAACCCGACCTTTCTCTCTGGCTGCCCTTAGTATTTTCTCTTTCATTTCAACCCTGGTGAATCTGACGATTATGTGCCTTGGGTTGCTCTTCTTGACGAATATCTTTGTGGTGTTCTCTGTATTTCCTGGACTTGAATGTTTGCCTGCCTTGCTAGGTTGGGGAAGTTTTCCTGGATAATATCCTGAAGAGTATTTTCCAGCTTGGATTCATTCTCTTCGTCACATTCAGGTACGCCTTTCAAACGTAGATTAGGTCTTTTCACATAGTCCCAGATTTCTTGGATATTTTGTTCATTCCTTTTTACCCTTTTTTCTCCAGTCTTGTCTTCCCGTTTTATTTCATTGAGTTGATCTTCGACCTCTGATATCCTTTCTTCTGCTTGGTCAATTCGGCTGTTGATACTTGTGCATGCTTCGCAAAGTTCTTGTGTTGCGTTTTTCAGCTCCATCAATTCACTTATATTCCTTTCTATTTTGTCCATTCTCGTTAGCATTTCGTCAAATCTTTTTTCAAGGTTCTTAGTTTCTTTGCATTTGGTTAGAACATGTTCTTTAAGTTCACAGATGTTTCTTACTACCCACCTTCTGAAGTCTGATTCTGTCATTTCATCACACTCTTTCTCCCTCCAACCTTGTTCCCTTGCTGGTGAGGAGTTGTGATCCCTTGTAGGAGGAGAGGTGTTCTGGTTTTGGGTGTTTTCATCCTTTTTGCGCTGGTTTCTTCCCATCTTTAAGGATTTATCCACCTGTCGACTTTGTAGTTGCTGGCTTTCAGATTGGGTCTCTGCGTGGACGTTCTGTTTGTTGATGATGACGTTATTTCTGTTTATTGGTTTTCCTTCTGACAGTCTGGCCCCTCTGCTGTAGGTCTACTGAGATCCACTCCAGGCCCTGCTAGCCTGGGGTTCACCTGCAGCAGCTGCTGAACAGTAAGGGTTGTTACCAGTTTTCTTCTTCTGCTATCTTTGTCCCAGAAGGATACCCGCCTAGTGTCAATCTGATCTCTCCTTTATGAGGTGGCTCTTTGGATATATAGGGGCAGGGAGCTGCTTGAGGAGACGGTCTCTTCTTTATAGGAGCTCAAATGGTGAGCTGTGAGCTCTGTTGTTCATTCAGAGCTGCTGGGCAGGTACGTTTAGTTCTGCTGCAGCAGAACTCATAAACTGCTTTTTGTTCCCAGGTGCTCTGTCCCAGGGATTTAGGGCTTTATGAGTTTCCGTTGTGCTGCTGCCTTCTCTGTTTTTTTTTTTTTTTCCTTCAGAGCTCCCCTGCCCCGCAAGGAGGCAGCCTAGTCACTGTCTGCCTGTATAGGCTTTGCTGAGCTGCTGTGGGCTCCGCCCAGCTGCTGAGTGAACTTCCCTGCAGTCCTGTTTATATGGGTGTAGTTAGAACTGCTTTGGCGATGGTGGCCCGCCTCTGTTGCGGTGGAGTCTCTCTGCAGTGGCGGGTTGCCTTGGCAACGGCGGGCTGCCTCATCAGTGGTTTGTTGCCTTGGCAACGGTGGGCTGCCTCAGCATTGGCTGACTACCTCCGTAGTGGCGGGCTTCCTCGGTAATGGCGGATGCCCCTCCCCCACAGAGCTGGACCGTTCCGGGTTCAGGTGCACTTGCTGTAGAACTCTCAATCCAGAGTTTCTGGTTGTTGTTGTTTTGTGGGGGGTGGGACCAGCCGAGCCTGATCGCCTGGCTCCCTGCCTCAGCTCCTTTTTTAAGTTGGTGTTCCAGTCGCCTGTTGAAGAGGCACCGGGGTCTGTTTGTTTTCCCCTGTGGCCACTCACTGCGCGGGCTTAAACAGCAGTACTGAGGTTTGTGGCGCTTTTTTTTTTTTTTTTTTTTTTTT